GGGTGAAGGTTCGCAAGGTGGGCTCACCCTTAGCTAGCTAGCTAGCTAGCTAGCTAGCTAGCTAGCTAGCTAGCTAGCTAGATACCTAGGTAGCGAGCTATATAGCTTACTAGATAGATGGATAGCTCGCTAGCTAGCTAGCTAGTTAGTTAGTTAGCTAGCACCACCACCACCAACAACAACCACCGCAACAGCAGCAGCAACACGAGCAACACGAACAGCAGCAGCAGCAGCAGCAGCAGCAGCAGGTTTTTGTATGTGTGCAGATGAGTGCGAACGGCCCTGTAGGGGGTTTGCGGGGGTCGAAGGGTTTAGTGCTGCAGCCAACCCGAGAGTTGGCGCTGCAGTGCTTCCAGCTGCTGCAGGGCCTCTCCCAGTTCTCCCCCATCACCTCCACTCTTGTCAGCTGCTGCTTCCTCCTGCTGCTGCTGCTGCTGCTGCTGCTGATGCTGCTGATGCTGCTGATGATGATGCTGCTGATGATGATGATGCTGATGATGCTGATGATGATGCTGATGCTGATGATGCTGCTGATGCTGCTGCTGCTGATGATGATGCTGATGCTTTTTCTTGTGTATGGTGCTGCTGCTGATGATGATGCTGATGATGATGATGCTGATGCTGCTGCTGATGATGCTGCTAGGCTGTAGGCGGGGTGAATCTGCAGCAGCAGGAGGCAGCGTTGCGGCAGCAGCCGGATATAGTGGTGGCTACCCCAGGGAGAATCATAGACTTGCTGCTGAACTCAGCTGTACGTGCACTGGAACTGCAGCAGCATCTGCTGCTGCTGTTGCTGCTGCTGCTGCTGCTGTTGCTGCTGCTGCTGCTGCTGTTGCTGCTGCATTGTTTCTCGATTTGCTGCGACGGCTGCTGCTGTTGCGCGAGAAGGCCCCATGGCTCTTCTCTTCTGGTAACTTCTTTGCCGCCCGTACTGCCGCTGCTGCTGATGTTGCTGCTGTTGCTGCCTTTGCTGCTGCTGCTAATCTGCAGCAGCAGGAGGCAGCGTTGCGGCAGCAGCCGGATATAGTGGTGGCTACCCCAGGGAGAATCATAGACTTGCTGCTGAACTCAGCTGTACGTGCACTGGAACTGCAGCAGCATCTGCTGCTGCTGTTGCTGCTGCTGCTGCTGCTGTTGCTGCTGCTGCTGCTGCTGTTGCTGCTGCATTGTTTCTCGATTTGCTGCGACGGCTGCTGCTGTTGCGCGAGAAGGCCCCATGGCTCTTCTCTTCTGGTAACTTCTTTGCCGCCCGTACTGCCGCTGCTGCTGATGTTGCTGCTGTTGCTGCCTTTGCTGCTGCTGCTGCTGCTGCTGCTGCTTTGCAGAGTACGCATTTGGAGCTGCTGGAGGTGATAGTGTTGGACGAGGCGGACCGACTCCTGGAGTTAGGCTTCAGAGACCAAGTGCGCAAGCTTCTCTTTCTTCTTCTCTAGCTAGCTAGCTGGCTAGCTAGCAAGCTGGTTTGAGTGCTAGCTAGCTAGCTAGCTAGGTTTAGGTAGTTAGCTAGCTAGCTAGCAAGATAGTTAGGTGGCTAGCTAACTAAGTGGCTAGTTAGCAGGCTTGCTGGATGGCTGACTAGCTACTAGCTAGCTAGGCTGTTCGCTAGCTAGCTAGCTAGCTAGCTAGCTAGCTGGGTAACGAAGTGCTTTAGGTTTGATTTGGGGGTGGCTGTGTTGAGGGTGTGTTTGCTGCTGCAGATACTGCAGGTGCTGCGGCACTGCCACCGAGGGAGACAGACGCTGCTGTTTTCAGCTACAATATCTGCTGCTGTCTCTTCTCTTGCGCTGCTCGCGCTGCAGTCCCCTTTGCACATCTCCTGCGAGCCCCGCAGCAGCAGCAGCAGCAGCAGCAGCAGCAGCAGCAGTAGCAGCGGTAGCGGGAAGAAGGCGCAGCAGCAGCAGCAGCTGCTGCCTGAAAACCTGCAGCAGCAGTTTGTGGAGCTGCAGCAGGAAGACCAGCGAATGGCTGCCCTCGTTCATCTCGTTAGGACATCCTTCTCGCGCAGAGTCATCGTCTTCTTCGGGGTTAGACTCCAGCTAGCTAGCTACCTAGCTAGCTAGATAGATAGATAGATAGATAGATATATAGATAGACAGATAGATAGGTGTGTGCGTGAATAGCTAGACAGCCAGCCAGCTAGCTATCTAGGTAGCTATCTACCTACCTAGCTAGCTAACTAGCTAGCTAGCTTGATAGATAGACATATAGATAGCTAACCAGCTAGCTAGCTCAATAGGTTGGCAACCAGCTAGCGAGCTAGCTAGTTAAGCAGCCGGCTGGCTAGCTAGCTAGCTACACAACCTGCTAGCTAGCTAGATAGGGAGCTAGCTGGACAACCAAATGGCTAGCAGCATCAGCAGCATCAGCAGCAACATCAGCAACATCAGCAGCATCAGCAGTATCATCAGCAGCAGCATCAGCAGCAGCATCAGGAGCAGCAGCATCAGGAGCAGCATCAGCAGCAGCATCAGCAGCAACAGCAGCAGCAGCAGCAGCAGCATCAGGATTATAGATATGTTTGTTTGTTTGTTTGTTTGTTGCATGCAGACAAAGAAAGCAGCACATGAAGCCTTCTTATTATTTACTCTTCTGAAGATTTCTGCTGCGGAGCTGCACGGCGATTTAACCCAACAAATGCGAACAGAGTCCCTCAAACAGTGAGACAGCACATCAAGGAGACACTTCAATAAAAGGAGACACTTCAGTTAATATAGAGGAGACACTTCAATTAATATAGAGGAGACACTTCAATTAATATCAAGGAGACACTTCAATTAATATAGAGGAGACACTTCAATAAAAGGAGACACTTCAATTAATGTCAAGGAGACACTTCAATAAAAGGAGACACTTCAATTACCACCAAGGAGACACTTCAATTAATATCAAGGAGACACTTGCATAAAAGGAGACACTTCAATTAATATCAAGGAGACACTTAAATTAATACCAAGGAGACAGTCGAATAAATAATAGGAGACACT